ATGGGCATGTCTTTAGGCTCTAGAGACGTGGCCAGTAGACAGGGAGAGATTTAAAGTTTATTGAAAAAGTGGGGATGATAAAGGAGACAATTTGATGGATAAGCCAGAATGGAATAGTTTCGCTTGTGTTCATGTGAGATGAGTGAAAGAGATAGTGCCAGAAAGCAGTTGAGTGAAGTAAGATGAGGGAGAAGAGGAGCTGTCAGCAAATAGCTCTGTTTTTTCAGTGAAATATGAGACAAGGTTCTCAGCTTGAGAGGGTGGGAGGAGGTTTGAGAAGGGATGAAAAGATTGGGAAGAGCTACTGTTCCAAGTGGGAATAGTGAATCAATTAGGAAAATTTACCTTGCTGCAGAGAGAGCCCAGTTGAGGTTGCAGAACAAATTTGTAGTGGACTCAGCACAGATTTGTGATTTTCCCTAACTTTGTACAGCAGCACATGAATAGAAATAGATTTCACTAATTGATCATTAGCCCAAGTTTGGTTGTAACAATTTATAGCAGTTTTTAACTCTTCCCAAAATTTTGCTGGGTCTTCTCTAATCTTTGGAAATATTTGTCAAATTATTAAAGTTATGTAACTGTACAAAAAGGTGTGAACAGTAACAATTGTCTTCAGTGGGGTTCCAACCTGGGATTTGGTATAGGAGATTCAGGAAATGGGTTGCAGCTTCCTGAGGGTTTTCAGTCAACTCTTCATGACCCCACTTAGGGTTTTCTCGGCAGAGATTCTGGAGTGGTTTGCCATTTCCTTGTCCAGCTCATTTTACAGATAAGGAGACTGAGGCAAGCAGGGTTAAGTAACTTAACTGAGGGTCACAAAGATGAGGCTTCCTGACTTCAACTCCAGCACTCTATCCACTGTGCCATGTAGCTGCCCCTTCCTGAGGGTGGAAGTTGTAGAGTTGAGAATTTGATTAAGGAGAGGAAAGAAAGCTCTAATGGTTTTTGGGGGGGATTTAGGGAAAAGGAAGAAAAGAGATATTGGAGAAGTGGAGAACTGTCTACATGGCTCTTTTTAAAAAATTAATTATTTTATTCTAATTTAAACACCAAAAAAAAAAAACCCAAACACCATATATGTAAAATGAATGAAAGCCTGTCAAGATTGTATAGGAAACTGAATCTCTATTCCACACTGCTTTTTAAAAAAAGTATATTATGGATACTTATAAAAGTATATTATAGATACAGTATGTTATAGGTCTATGTCAAACAATGGCCTTCTCTAATGTGGGGTGGGGAAGGAGGGAGAGAATTTAGAACTTAAAATGTAACAACAAAAAAAAAGATTAAATTAAAAAACAACTCAATGTCAGAGTCTCCAATCCTGTCATCTAAAGTGGAAAAATACAAACTCAAAGACAAAAAATCAAGGCCTATTTCATGGGGCCACCTATCAGCCTTAGAAGAGAAAAGGCCTAAAGCCTTTCCCCATACAGAAAAGGCATCAAACCAAGAAAGAGTAGCCAAAGATGATGTGGCCCAAAAGAATGGCCAAAACTAACCAAGGACTTTGGACGGCACCTCCAGTTCACGTTTTGGCAACAAATCCAAAAAGACTTCGGACTATGTATGTCTACATATGCTTAAGTCTCTCCAAGGCACTTCCATTATAACTGCATTCCAATAAAAAATATTTTTCATTAAGAATATTAGTTGAAGATATTTGGATGGTACTCCTAATTCTGATGGCAATATGGGTGGAGATATGTTCCACTGTTTAAAGTAATTTCTGTGGATTATCTTTGGTCAGAATTATTTACTGTTGTAATTTTATGTTTAAAATATCTTACCTTAAAAATAAGTAAAATTACCTTGTCCAGCTTGACTGTGCTTCTGAATAATAATAATAATAATAATAGCTAGGATTTATATAATGCTTTAAAGTTTACAAATATTATTTTATCTTCATAACAACCATGGGAAAATGATATTATCCCCCTTTTACAGATGAGGAAACTGAGGTGGACAGTAGATAAGTGACATGCCCAAAGTCAGACAGCTAGTAAATGTTGGAGACTGCATTTGAATTCAGGTCTTCCTGATTCCCTCTCTAGCACTACCATTTTTGCATTTTTGCCACCTACCTGCCCATACTGAACTTCCTTCTATTTTCTTATGTGACCTACTTTAAATGTTTTAGTGGCCCTCCTTTTTTTTTTTCTTTCTCTTTTTCTTTTTTTTTTTGCTATCACTACTGCTAACCACCTACCCACCAACCCCCAGTTAAAAACAGAAAGAAAACAAATCAAAATCCTTGTAGTAAACAAGCATAGTCAATCCAAAGGAATCCACACAGTGACCATGTCCAAAGATGTATGTATGTCTTTTCCTATACCTTGAGTCTGTCACTTCTCTATCAGGAGGTGAATAATGTGCTTCTGTCTAAGTCCTTTAGAGATGCAATTAGTTTTTGCTTTGATCAATGTTTTTAGGTCTTTAAAAGTTGTTTTGCTTTACAATTTTGACATTGTATAAATTGTTTTGGTTCCTTCACTCTGCATTTTGTATAAGTTCATTTTTTATCAGGATTTTATGTAACCATCTCTTTTGTCATTTCATACAATATAATAATATTTCATTACATTTATAACATGATTTATTCAGCTATTCCCCAACTGATAGCCATCCATCTCTTTTATTTCCAGTTGTTTGCTTTTTCCTTTTAATCCTCCTTCATGATCAGGAAGTTTGTTTGCTTGTGACTGTTCCTTCCTTTGTATTATCCTCCCTTTTAATCTACCTTTTAATGACAAACTAAGTAGTTTGTAGACAACACAAGGGCGATTTAGAGACAATGAGGATCTGCTGAAGCATTTTGCACAGGAAAGTAACATGGTTAAACCCATGCCTAAGTATGATTGAGAATGTCAGATGGGGAAAGCATTGAATAACAATACAAAACATTAAATTGGATGTTATTTTAAAAGACAATAAAAGATTATTTGCCAACATTGCTGTTATTTCTATGTTAGCTTATATCATTGACTCAAAGGTCAAAAATTAATACCACTTGAATAGAAATAGCAACATTGTCATACTAATGCTTAAGGAAAATAATTTTTCAGATGTGTGTAGGATGTATTGGAGAAAGGAGAAATTTAAGGCAGGGAGACCATTTAGTAGGCTTTTGGTAGTATTCCAATAGGTAAGTGATGGGGGCCTGAACTAGGGTGGAGTGTCTATGTGAATAGAAGAGCTGTTGTGAAGGTAAAATCAAGACTTGACAACTAATTGGATATGTAGAATGGAGGGGGGAGAGAGGAGTTGAGAATTACAAACTGGGTGATTAGGAGTATAGCTGTTCATTGGAAAGAAATAGGGATGTTTGGAAAAGGGGTGGTTTTAAGGGAAAAAATAATGAGTTCTAATTTGGACATGTTCCATTCAAGATATATGTGACACATCCGATTTCAAATGTCAAGTGGCAGTTAGTGAAGCAGAGGAGTTAAGCAGCAAGACTAGTGTTGGATGTATACAAGTGAGAGTCATACACATAGAAATTATAATTGAACCCATGGGACCCTATGAGGTCACGAAGAGTGTGTTCAGAGAGAAGAGAATAGGACGTTCCTTGGTGAGAATATATAGTAAGGAGGCACATAATGGGTGACGTGGATGATAATTCAGCAAAGGAAAATGAGAACTGGTCAGTAGGATAAAAAGAGAGCCGAGAATGCTGTAATTAAAAAAAAACCCAACAACTCATTATGTTTCCAGGAAGAAATAGCCAGTAGAATCAAGTGCTATAGAGAGTTTATAAGGATAAAATTGTCTTAAAATTATCTTCCTAATGATGTACATTTTATATTGATTTTTCTACTTTAAAAATATGGTTAATTCTTTAAAAGTTTGGGAACCATATTTATTAATTGTATTCGGTTTAAAATACAAAATGTTCCTTCATGCCTTTCTGAGATTATTTCCTATTTTCCTACATGAGCTGTGTTCCTGCCTCGCTGAACTATTAGCTGTTCCTTGAACCTGACCTTTTGACTCTTGCCTCTGTATACACACAATTCCCTATCCCTGAAATGTACTCCCTCCTCAGTTTTGTCTAAAGGGTTCATCCTAAAGGATTCAGCTTAGGTGCCTTCTTCTCTGTGAAGCTTTCTATGATTCTCCATTTATTAGCATTCTCTTATTCAATTTAATTTGTATTTACTTAACTGTATGTTGTATCTTTCCAGTAGAATGTATGCTCCTTGAGTTAGGAACTGTTTTCATTTTTGTCTTTTTGTCTTCTTTGGATGGAGTTGAACTGACGCTTACTACTGTCCAATGAATAACTTTAAAAAAAGATTACTAAGAAAAATTATAATGTATACATAGTATGACCATGGAATGGAACAAAACTAATTGCCCCTCAAAAGCTCCATGAATACCATACTCCAACCAGCTGAGCTAATTGAAAGTAAAAGTCGTAACTCAAACAAGAACGTGAGGGGAACACAGAATCATAGATTTATACCTGGAAAGTCCAGAAGTCACCTAACACAACCCCATCATTTTACAGGTGAGGAATTTGAGGCCCAAAGAGTAGAAATTACTTGTTCAAGGTCACAGACAAACCAAGTAACAAAGCTGATACTTGAACCAAGACTTCTGACTCTAAATCCATCCCTTTCCCTCTATGCCTCTCTGCCTTGTCCCTATTAAAAATCTCTCTCAGTAAAATCAGTCATCAAATTCAGATCCCCAAAGGAACTCATCTTATCAACAATTTATTAGCCTGCTTTTACTTATGTGAGCCATCCAGTCCAATGTCCACCAAAATCATGAATCCTTTCTATAGCATTCTTAATAAATATAACAAAATTGCATTCTTTTATAAATAGTATATAATTCAGACTTAATTCATAGTGACACTTCCTTCCCCACTTTCCCTTTAAACAAATACATGAAATGTTAGTATAATTGTGTCTTTTATAAAACCAGCTTCATGTTTAGTTCACTTGTGAGAAAAATGTCTCAATTTAAAATGTTTTGTTGAACAGGTGCACAAACTATTGGATCCCTGAGTTTTATCTCACCTACAAGTTATGGATATGTAAAGGATTTATGCTCTACAAACTTTGGTTCAAAACACTACTTTCACTTAATTCCTAATGATTCAACTGTCTGCAGTTTGCTTCTCTGTAACAGAAATGAGACTGCCTGGAATGAGCTGAAGGTGGGTCAAGAGTCTTGAATTCCCCATCTGAGCATAGAATTTAAATAGGGAAATAATATGGGCACTATGGTGTTTTTATCCTTAGATGAACTGTTCTTCACAATGTTATCAGTTGTCATCAACTAATACAAGTCCATTCAATTGTATCATTGCTTTGCATGAGGCTTTAATTTTCTTTGTTATCACAAGGTTACTGAGAATCAGTCCAGTGAAGTGGATAGAGAACTGCCCTTAGAGCCAAGGGGTCCTCAATTCAAATCCTGCCTCTGATACATATTAGCTATGTGTCACCTACTCTCTAAAGATGATAATTTGCAGAGAAGATGCTGCTCTGCATTGGCAGCAAGAGGTTCCTCATCCAGGGGTTCTCTGTGCCAATGAAAACACAGATCCAGTCTCCATTCCTCTCCCTTCTTCAAGGTTGTGGCTGTATCTTCTCAAAAGGAATCTGATCCATATTTTCTGTAGAATACTGTTGTCCAGAAGAGTCTAGTCCAGTTACAGAAGTATCACTAATACTTTGGTTTCTAAACTATTTGAAACCATCCTGTTTTAAGCCTATTTGTATATAATACTAATTGACATTTAAAAAACTATTTAAAAATTACAGAGTACTTTCCTCACAATAACCTTGTGAAGTAGGTAGTACAAGTATTACACTCACTTTACAGAAGAGGAAACTGAGGCTCAGAGCCTATGAAAGACTTGTCTGTACTAACACAGGTATTCAGCACGAGAGACAGGATTCAAACCCAGACCTCTTGACTCCAAGAACAGGTCCCTTTCTACTGTACCATGTTACTTATCATGAAAGAGATGAGTATTCTAGTACCCTAAAGCATGTGTAGACAGCTTCTGTTACTTGTTGGCCAAAACCATTTCCGTTGGCATTTGAACCATGCCAATGCTTATTCTTGTTCCTTGAAAATTACAGTTGGATAAGTGAGTCTGTCATGTGTTCCTTTGAAAGTTTTTTGGTTCGGGTTTGTTTTTATTTTTTCCTCTTTTTGGGAGTGATGGCAACTTCTGACTTTGGTGGATACATTTCTGTTTTTCAGCTTGCATGTCAAACAGCACTGCATGTCTTACAGTTAACAATCAGGAAGCCTTTGGCTTTGCTGGGAGGTGGCTGTACTGAAACTCACTTGGCCTCCTTTATAAGACATAAGGTAAGTAAGCCTTAACTCATCTTGTGAGATTAGCCACATTTATACTAGCTTTACATTTTTTATATTGTGGGTTCAATTTCAACCCCTTCAAGAGTAAGTTTCTCAATTAGCTGGATTACAGTACACAGTACTCCTTTTTAGTGAATAACCAAATCACTTTGGTGGGTTCTCCATACAAGCCCCTTTAAACAACATGCTATTGTAGGAAGAACATTGTATTGGGAGTTTTAAGACCTAGATTTGAATCCCACCTTCTGCTTCCTTCTCTTGTGATTTTGAACAAATCCCTGAGCTTTTCTGAATCCTAGTTTTTTCATTGTGGTGGTTAGATTGGATCATAGGATCGTAGATTTAGAATGTGAAGGGATCTTGGAGGACATTAAGTCCTCGCCCCTCATTTTACAGGTGAAAAACCTTAAGCCCCGAGAAATGACTTATCCAGGTCCACATCAGAATTGGAACCCAAGTCTTCCTAACTCTTTTCCAGTATTCTATGATTCAATATATCTCGCTGCCTTAATAGATAATACTAGCGAAGCAAAGAAGAGATACTGTGGCCTGTTACGGACATTTCACAAATCCATTTAAAATAAAAAAGTGGTTATTAAGTCCTTACACATTTAATGCTGATATCTAATTCATAAATCATACATTTAGAACTTGAAGAGACCTCAGAGATCACGTCATCTAGCCTTCTTACAGATGAAGAAAACAAGGCTCAGAGATGCAGTGTCATTTGACCAGGGTCATATGTTAGGAAGTCACAAACCTGAGTTAGTAAGTCATTTCAGTTCCAGTGTTTTTCTCCATCATACCATGTAGCCTTCCTAGGATGGCTCTGTGCCACATTACAGCGATTCATCTGGTTGCCATTACAACTTCTGTGGCCCCTATTCCCCAAGTTAACACTTAACCGAGGTGATTCTAATTGCAATTTTCAATGAATAAGAATCAGTTACTCTTCTCCCAGAGACCAAAGTGGTATAAAGGATAGTATGCCCCCCAGTGCTGATGGAAATGCTTATACACTTGCAAACATATAAATCTTTGAAGGAAATTTCATTTTGTAAAAGCTAATGGATATTAAGTGATTAAATGGAACTATGGAACAAATGGGGAGGACATGGCTGATGGGGGCTCAAGTGCCTAGCGGTAGGGAAAGTAGACACTACTCTCCAAACCCCAAGGCTTACCCCTTGGAACCTTGAAGGGCAGAGAGAGCCAGAAGACCCTGACTGTACTGGGCCAATTCCTATAGTGAAACCAACATCAGTATCTGTAAACCCTTTGGCGTTTCAGCTGTGTCAGTGTATGTGCAACGGTGTTGGAGGTATCCTTGGGATCCAGCATGACCAAGAACTGCTAATTTAGATTTTGTTAGCACTTTGCCAAGTACTTAAAATTACAATCATTAATTATGAGACATGCTTAGTGACACATCACAAGAATAATGAAACATCTTTTGAATCCCGGTATAGTTAATATTATATATATGTGATTTTATTATGATTCCTTAAACACTGGTAATATAAATGATACACATAACTGTTAACCAAAATATCTAATTAACCAAGAAACAAAATCCTTGACAATGTTAAGAGTTGTGTGATTATCTAATTTAAGGGATATCTATACTATTCATTTGGAAATGGATCCAGGAGAGTTCAGATGTTTCTTCTATGTCTGCTATTCAATCTTAGGTCAGCCATAATATTTCTTGAGAGACTACTGTGTGCAGAGATATCCATGAGATGTTTTAGAGGGAGGGGAAAATATTAAAGTCATGAATCTTTAAATTCCCAATCTGATGGAGAAAATATAAGAAACTATAAGAGTTTTTACCAACAAAGTATAAAATGAATATAAATTAACATACTGAATGGAATCTGATGTATTTGAAACAACTATATTCAAATAAGATGAGTCAGTGGTAGCTTTTTGTAGGAAGTATATTAATTATGCCACATGTTGAAATCAGAAAAAGATCTTCAGGTAAAGGCTAGATAACCATGTGTTTGGTGTGTTTTCCCTTGTTCAGGAACATATAGACTAGATGGCCTCTACGATCCCTTCCAACTCCAAAAGTCAGTGTTTATGTGACTGGGAATCACATTTCTCCATCTAAAAGTAATCTTCCCCTCATATTTCTCTTAGCTTTTCCCCTAAACCTCTTCCCTGCTTTTATTATATTCTCTCTTAAATCATAGTTACTGGTATACATGACTTTTTCCTTTCTAGTAATTTGTAAGCTCTTTTATTTCATGATACAGCTCCACCCTCCTCCATCAGAATTCAGGCTGCTGGAGACCAGGGAGTGTTTGATTTATCTATTTCTGTCTCTAGCACTTAGCACATTGCTACGCATATAGTAGGCACTCAATAAATCCTTCACTTCCATTAATTCATTCTTGTCTATCTTTGTTCCCATAGGGCTTAGCATATATTTTTAAAAATTGAGGGCCATGTTATCACTGTGGACATTTTCTTCCACTATTGTAGATGCATCCATACCTTTTTATCCTGTGTATTTATTGCTCATTTTTATCCATAAATTTTCCAAGGAGCATCTATTTGATGCGTTTCTCTACATCTTTTTACATTTCATGGATACCATGGCAATACTTGGGCTATCCAACTGTTACCCCTTGTTCTCAGTGTATGATCAGCTCACCTCTCTTTCCTAAGCATGTGTGTCCTTGATATTTTTCATCAACAACTTGCTTGTAAAAAGTGGCATAATATGTTGTTGCAGCCTCCATATGTCCTCTCATTCCCTTTTCATTGCCTTTTGAATCTCCTGCCATTTGATTCATTTAAGATCATTGCAGTCTAGGAACTGTAGCCATATAATATCACCAGAGAAATATTAGTATTTAAGATATGTATTTTTCAATGTCAGTGAACAGTTTGAGGTAATTGAAAGCTCTATTCAACTTCCCAAATTTGACCCATCTTAATTAATTTATTTTTAATTCTGGAATCTGGTCATTTTCCATCTGCATATTTATCCCAGCTCTACAGAAGGATGGCCTGACTCAACCACCTGCATGTCATAATCTGGGCAACATGCATTTTTCATCCATTTGGTTTTTTCCTCTTTGGTTTGCTAGGCTGATGTCTTATGAGAGACTAAATCTCTTTTTAAATTTAAAAAAAAATAATCTTATTATGAATTTTAAAATATCAGCAAACATTTTAATATGCAAAGAGAAACAAAAAAGGGAATTTCACATTAAACTATGAACCTCTGTTATGTACAGTTTCTCTTTTTTTTTGCCATGCTTTTTGTTTTGTTTTTATATAATTCAGATATAATGTGGTAGTTCCAACATGGCCCTGTTTTTCTTTTTCTCTTTGTGAATATCCTCCTGCCCTCTTCAATTTCCATTTTTAATGATTTGTTGACATACTTCTTGTTTTCTTCCTTTTTTTGGTATCACTATCACTACTCTTCCCTCCCCCCCCAAAAAAAATGAAAAATGAACACACACACATCCTTTGTAACAAATAAATATAGTCATACAACACAAAACCACATATTGGCTATGTCTGAAAATGTATGACTCTAAATATCAATGAAAAAACTTATGTAATGTTTAGGGCACTAGAACAGTAAGCATAGAGGCATCTGATATTCTCTGTATTACTAAATCAATTGTATTAGTGTGAAGATATAATTTACTATAGCAATAACCTATTAAAACTTGCTCATCCCTTTTCATATTTTCAGGTATACCTTTGAAATGTGTACAGACCACACTCATAAAGATTACAAAATCTTGGTTGTTACTGTTTTTAGTGGTAATAACCTTGCAAGATATTTTCCATTCTTTTAGGAATCTTTCCTTGAAAATTGATCCCTGCATATTTTTAAAATTTTGCCACCTGTTCCAACTCAGATTTCTTCTTTATGCATATGGTAAAAAATAATTTAAGAATTAAAGTGAAAATTAAATAGAGATAGGGATAGGAACTGGACCTATGATTTCATTGATATAAAGAGCTTCCAGGTGAGGAAGTACTTCATACCAATCCAAGTCAGCACTTTTTCTACAACTTTTAGTCTTAAAGAGTTGCCTAGAGCAATAAGTGAATAAGTGATTTGCCCAGGGTCACTCAGCAAATATGTGTCAGAGGTAGTACTTGAACTAAGTCATTCTTGTCTCCCAGAACTGTTTTCTGTAAATATGCCCCTCAGTTTTTACTTTTAAACTATGAAGTCTTGGGGGTTCAGTTTTGGGTAAATCATTGCACTTACTTAAAAGTATTTATCAGGGCAAAAGCATTCACATTACCCTTTTGGAATTTCGTCATATATCTGAAAAACATATTATTGTGACATGCTGTCTTTTTTCTGTGAAGATACCACTTTTGGCAAGGATAAGTGAATTTTATTTTTGTCCAGTGACAGTGATAAATCTTCACTAACCCATCTCCACTCTTGCATTCAGGACCCTTAGCTAGTGATCAGTGCATGAGATGGCTGATCACAGTTATGTGCTACGTGGGTTCCATTACCATGGAACAAAACTGTTATAGCCTTACCCACACAGCTCTCTTAGTAATGTATTTCAGCCAGTTGGGTTAATTGATAGCAGAAGTTACTTTATTGAGATTTTCAACAGAAATACTCAACAATTTTTGAAAAAATTACAAGACTGGTCAATCTTTTAAAAGTTATTTAACTGCATGTATCACTTTGCAATGCCTTTATTTTGTTTCAGGGTATCAATGTTCCAGAATGCATTCTCAAAGTCAATGACTGTACCCAAACAGAATATAAAATAGTTACTAATGCATTTTGCAATGCACTACAGTCTATTGCTTGCTCTCTAGAGCATGATAAAGGTAAAATTCTTACCGATAGGAAGTATGGACACTTTTGGTCAATTCCACCAGATTTTCCCTCAAATGTGAAATGGCAGGATTTGGTTTCAGAATGTGGTTGTGGACTCTATGGTAACCAGGAAGAACTAAACTGGTGCCTCTTACAAGACATTCATTCTTTTGCTCCGCAAAACTCTTCTATCCAGCAAGCCACAAACTCCACTGGCCATCTGACTTTGGACTGTTTTACTGCAAAGCTTCATGGCCTACAAGTTGCTGTGGAGACGGCCAGTTTGATTTTAGATCTGTCATACATCATTGAAGATAAAAACTGATCTGAATTTAAAGTGCATTTTGAAAAATATGTTTATGGGAAAAAAGGCTCAAGTAGAAAAATTATTGAACATAGTCACTCTCAAAGGCTTAACTTTTTTTACCCTTTTGTGTACATTTTATGAACTCATTTGACTTGGACATTTAAAGTGAACAAAATTATAACTTAAGTGGAGGTATTTACCTAACAGTAAGCCTATAAAGTATTGTTAAAGGTACTTTAATAACTACGTAAAGTTAGTGGCTACTGTACAATATTTTATTTTTTTCTGAACATTTCCTTATTTAGATTTATCTTTCAATAAATATGAAATTAAAAAAACATTGCTTTTTTCTCATTCCAGTTTTGACGTGAGTATTACAGATATGCATCATTTATTACTAATTCTGTACATTTAAAATATTAAATTTACCCCAAGCAATAATATTCTTATCCAATCTAAAAAATATGAAATCTGTCCGTACTGAGTAGTGTGTTCAGATATCAGTTAGCTGAGAATAAGTACATGGAGTTGGTAACTTTAATGCAAGATCATATTTGACTACATAGCTGTTTTGTATCACAGTTTTCACTCTTGGAAAATCTGTAATGATGAGCAGATGTTGGAAAGAGTAGTTGTGTGCAGTCACTCAAAGATTAGCTTCAGGTGAAACAATTTTTTTTTAATACCTTAGGATTTAGAGTAGGAGGAGTGACTGAAACAATGACAGAAATACAGGAAGGAAATAGAAAATTGACATTCCTGTGGGACTTGAAAAAGGAACATAAAAAAGTTAAAAATTATATTGTGAAAGAATATAAGAAAAAAATTGTTGAATAGTTTTAATATAAAGAAACTTTGATTATATGACCTGGAGTACAAACAGAAGTGCTGATATTTCACAAAGAATGTAAGAAAAGGGAGTTGTCAGCAGTTGAGTGCCAGGTGGAAGAAGAACACTGAATCCACTGAATAGTTAGAAGATATAGTCTATTTTCATCTGTGACATATTAAAGTATAGGGAAACATTTTATAATCTTGGTCAAGTGTTTGTATTCACAAAAACTTAAAGATCAAATTCCTAGTTGTGAATAAATGGGATTGAATTTTAAAATGCGTCCTTCCCGGATTCCCATAACTAAAAAAAAAAAATTGGCTTTGGGCCACAAGCAGAGTAAAGAGAGAATAAAAGTACTCACAGAAATGCTTTTGATCTCCACAAATTGCCATTATGTTTATTGAAAAATTAGCTAAGCTTAGAGGTTTCACAAAATGCTTCTCTAAAGTTTTGCCCCTTTTACTATCAAAAGTTAAAAGAGAAAGGAGGGAAGATAGTTTTCCAAAAAGTAGTTCTTTAAGGTTGTCACAAGTGAAAAAATTCCCGTAAAAGATCATTTTAGTGCTTGACAGCTTATTTTTGCATCTTCACTGTTCTTCCAATGAAGATGAACTTCAAAGTGGAAACAAAGGAACAATGTTCTTTCTCCCCCAAATTTTGTGTTTCTCAAACAACCTGTGTAGAGGCAAGGCATTTTGGGATCACTTTTAGAAAAAGTAGTAGTGTCATTTTAAATAATATGAATTACCATGCTGCAGTCCACTTTGCCCAGTATTCTGTTGCCATTAACAAGCTCCAGGGAATTCCCAGGGGCAAATAATGATTGCCTTCCTTAAAACCAGGTTTGTGAATGGTAGTGAAATTAAGGACTGGATATTGGATGAGAAGGAATATCAGATATGAAAACAAGAAAACTTGATTTCTACAAGCAAGGAATAAGAGAACAAAAGACAAGAGAAAACCAGAAAGTTACAAGATATTATTGAACAATGTACTGAGGAGGATATGATAGCATTAGAGGCAGCATTCCAATCATTGAGCCAAAAGGAAGGCCTACTGAGACTGAAATCTTATTCATCAAAAGCTGGTAGGGTATAGCAACAGCCTCTGGGGGCTCTGAAATAAATTAAAATCACCATATTTTACAGGCATATGCCCAACCTAATGTCCTAAATTGGCTCTTAGATAACAGTGTTGGATAAAACAGGATTACAGAGGGCAGTTAATTTCAAAGAGCGATCTTATAAATTATTGCCACCAGCTGAACAGTACTACAAAGAAACTTCATGATTTCATGGTGGAATTTAGTCATAATTTTATTGTGATTAGTCACAATAAATAAAAATTACATTAGTCAAGATAGTCTTGTGCAGAGTATGTTTATACTATATTCATCTAATATTTCTGCTTGTGATTTGTAATAAAGAATCTTTTCATGTTGGACTTGATAAATTGTTAGCCATTTGAGAATGCCATGCTTCCCCCCGACCCATATGCTTAAATTGTCCATTGCTAAAATCATTTGTTGTCAGATTACTCTTAGGTTCATTTAATTTATATAATCAAGATAATAGTGCTCCACAAGGTAGGAAAAAAAAATACAAGACTTAATAAATATGATGCATACTACCTAAAACATCACAAATGCTATCATCTTTAGTAATCTTAGGGGGGTAAAAGAGCTGTTCTTTGGAGAATTCTTAAAGTTAAAACAAAATCACATTGTTTGATGACACATTGATATTATCGTTAGAGAGTATTATATATATAAAATATGGTTACATAATCATTGTAGTTCCTTGGGAGGAGTCCAATTAGTTAAGCTAATCATTTCAGATAAATATGATCTCTGGAGAAATCGTCAAGGAGACTAAACATCTCATACAGAACAGTATTTCAGCTGTCAAAATATGCTTATCTCTAGCCCTAGTGAAAAGGGATCATTTTAAACATCTGATATCTTGGGTAATTTTTTCAAGTAGTAAAATATTTCCATTTACTGCCTATGTTATTCCATAATTCATTTATATTCTTTCCTCCATGCTACATCTTCCAAACTCAGTAGTGTTTAAACCTCATTGTTTGTCATTGTTTTCAAAGAGTACCATGACATCAGGAAGGTGATGTCATGACTTGCAAGTGAATTGAGTTTAAGTGAGGCAGGGCTGCACAAAGTCACCAGCCTTACTCCCTCCTCCAGAGCCATCTAGGTCCAAAGGCAAAATATAGACCAGGGTGACTGGAGATGGCCCTGGATGCAGTGTTTAAGAAGAAAGATTACAGTTAGCCTATATTCTCATATTAGATCTAACAAACTTTTCATTTAGGGTTTTGAAGGGAAGAGAAAACATTTATGGTGTACTATTAAATTAAGAATGCATCTTGAGTAGACTTACTTATTTCCTCTTGGTATGTTAAAGGAACAGATATATTTTTAAAGAGGCATAACATTATTTTTAATATAACTGAATTAAAGAAGTGTTAAAACATTAATTTTCAAAATTGTTAAATTCACACTTAAATGTGTGGTGTGTTTCCTTCAGGTCTTATTTTTTGTGTTAGTATCTTTATATTTGGCAAAACAATGATCTGAAATGTACTAGAAAGTGCTTAGATTAGAATCCTTTTGAAACAGTTTATATACAGAAGCAGAAAATGGTATTTTCTTTGCAAAATGAAGGTTTTGCATTGCTATTGATATCCCACTCCAGGCCAACTACAAACATTATCTAATGGATTTGACAGTTTTTTAAAACTTATACTATCTTGCCCTATGGATACACATATGGATCCCCTTTCTTGTATGTTAGATCGTCACCAAAAGAGAAATATTCTCAGGTTTTATAGAATTTCCCGGTGTCAGATTTTACTGTCAAGTCATTTCAAACCTATATTGCTATCTCCTTTGGATGTCAAATTGCTGCAACTAAAGATTGTTAGTCTTTCATAATGATAACAGAGAGGATGCAGTAAATATGTGAAACCTATAATCCTTATTTTTTTTTAGCAGTGCTTATAACTTACTTTATTTTGCCTTTTATTTCCTAATACTTCTCACCTGTTTTATCTACTAGGTAGATTGAGCAAAACTTCAGGTACTCACATTTTTATTGTATTTTCTTTGCTTATTGAAATGTATTAACTGAATCTTAATTCTTTAAGTAAAAAATGATTCCTTTGTTGCCTTTTCTAAGTCCAGAGAAATGATAGTGGAAATGATGAAGGAAATCTGATTTTAAAAATATGGGTAAAGCAGAGCCTCAGAGTTGTGGGATTCTGCTTGAAAGAGACAAATATGTTGAGCCATTAGTTTAACTTTGAAGTCCTCTTGTGGGACTAGGAATTTAGGTTAAAGTGGGCATAATCTTGCTATTCTCCTGAGCACTAAATGTAATTGGGTTGTTTATGAATTCTCTCTGAATGATTCATCCAACTAAAAAAAGATTAGTATACTACACTACACTTTACATCTATCCATCAGAGAAATTTATGAAGACTATAAATTCAAATGGATGGTTTCAAGTGAGTTCCTTTTTTTTTTTTTAGTTAAAAGAAAAGAAGGGAGGGGGGTGGATTTTTGTAAGCAAACAACTTGTCCTTAATGGCGTTTCAATACCTTGTACAAAGCCACTGTTTTTAATTTTTGTGCTGTAGTCTATTTATTTTATGTATGTAACACATGAATGAGTAACTCCAATATGTTTCTATCTTCATCTTATAATATTAAGTAGTAAAACCTTGAAAAAGGTCAGCTGTCAAATTCAAGGACTTTTTTGTATTGAATATAATAAAACTGAAATTTCTATCACCTTGCAGAATTATCAGCAAAATTGTTTTATATTCCTTTATATTCCACTAATGAGTTTATTTTATATACCATCCTTATTATGTGATGTAATCTTTGCAGAAAACTATAGTCTGAATAATAGAAATCTTAGTCTTTGAACTTCCTTTCAGATTCTCCTTTTGCTTTTGTCTTGGTCAACATAAGAGAAGATGTTTTGTTTATTTGTTTTTTTAAACATTCTTTACCACAAAATAAAACTGAGTTATTCATGTGAATTAATTTGGCTTCCCATGTTTTCTTTATGTTTGCATGCATTATGAAGTAATGCATTGTTGATCTAAGTAATAAGACTCTCCTGTGTAACTTATTTCAAAACTTGTAGTTAAACCTGAAACATTTTACAGATTGTTCTCTGACACAGAATTTTTATTTCAGACAACCAAGTAAATCAACATTTTTAATTTATGAGCCAGAGTATCACAATTGATAGCATCTTCTGTTCCTCATGTTAGCATTTAAGGTAAATTAGAAATGTGAAAGTATTTATTTATTTTAAAGGTCTTATCTTCATTGCTATTTAATTTCAAAACACTGGCTTTATTATGTTTAGAGCCTGTGTTTTTGGAATAGGTTTGAAGCAGTGATTTGGAGTTTCCAAATACATGGAATTGTTTGTTTCTTCTGTTAAAGTTCTTCATCCTAGGATATATCAAGCAAG